TCCTCAGAAGAGGAACACACATGTGCATGAGCAAACACACGTCACATGGCTCCAATCTGCACCAGGAGAGGCATGAATATTCAGAAGAGGGAAACACACACACGCACAGGCAAACACGTTACATAGCTCCCATGTGCACCCTGGGGTGAAACGTCACATTTGAAGGCATTACGAGTAATTAGGCTGTGCATGGAAACGCTGACCCAGGGACAGGAAGGCGCTCTGCACAGCCTTGCTCGGCAAACCAGCCGGAGCCGTGCATGCGGGGTGGCCTCTATCAGGAGAAGCTTACTGCCATCAGCCCCAGGTCCAATCGGGGCTGTCCTCATCGCTCGCGGAGCAGGGGTCGGGGGTTGCTGGCTGCGCGCGGGGTAAGCTGCAGGTGGTTCTATGCTGCTCCTCTCTTGCTGAGCTGCTAAACACCGTGTGGCCTTAGAACACGGCCTGTTCTCCAAGTGTAGGGTGTGCAGCTTAACCCCCGCACGGCCCTGTCTTTGCTCCTGTTTGTAATTTGGCATCTAATTGCCACCAAGTCTGTTCCATGAGACTTAGGATCTCTGCTTCCTTAGGGTTCTGGTTTCTGCATCTCCACCCATGCCTGTCTTCTGGGCCATCCCTGTGGGCGTGAGGCGGATCTTACTGTGGCTCTGAGCTGCGTTTCCCTGATGAATGGCATGGAATGTGTTTCTGTGGCCGCTGGCCACTGTGTGTGGCTGTGCCCGAGTGGAGCCAGTCGGGCTGAGATGGCAAGGGTGGGGTGGGCGGTAGCTGAAACGCCATGGTGCACTCCTGTTCTGGGCTTGTTCCAGTGCCTGCTCCAAGCCAGTGTCCATGTCCTTCAGAGGCTCCTGCGTTGCTGTCACCAGCCGGGGCTGCCGTGCTGTGGGGTGCGGGAATAGGTTCTCATCGACTGTCTTATTTGACCAAAAATCAGACTATGTCAGTGGCGGCTGTGTATCATAAGCAGCGTTCTGATAATTCTGGGTATGCTGCTTTGTACTAAATGAGAGAAAACCGATGTTCTGGGAATTCGCTGACTCCAGGCTCTGCAGAGGCAGCATCTCTCGTTTTGCTAAGGCTGCTTCAAAGGTCTAGGCCACCCTCGGAAAAACGACAGCGCTGTCAAATTCTTTGTTGAACAAAGAACCATCTGTTCACGCCGTTTAACACACAGGTTCAGTGCAGCTGCCGGAGACGCGTCGGACCAGTGGCCAGCAGCAAGGGCACGTGCTTCCTGCAAGCACAGCGGTGGCTCCGGGCAGCCTGGCACAAGTGAACGCAGCAGTGTGTTGCCATGGCTGGCTCACCACAGATGCCCGTTTTGGGGGTGTGGAACCATGGGTCAGCTCTGGGCACCAGCAAGGCTGAGAGTCAGCAGCCAAAGTCCAGATGCTGGCCAGGTGCAGTGGAGCATGCCTGTGATCTGAGCTCTTTGGAAGGCTGAGGCGGGTTGATCACCTAAGGTCAGAAGTTCGAGACCATCAGGGTCTACACGGTAAAACCATCTCTACTGAAAATATAAAAATTAGCTGGGCATGGTGGCGGGTGCCTGTGATCCCAGCTACTTGGGAGGCTGAGGCAGAATTGCTTGAACCTGGGACACAGAAGTTGCAATGAGCCGAGATGGCGCCACTGCACTCCAGCCTTGGCAATGGAGACTATGTCTCAAAAAAAAAAGCCCAGCTGCAACCCCCTGACCCCGGAGGTTCTAGGCCTCCGGCAGGTCCAGCTGAGGCAGGGGCAGGCATGGGGAGTGGGGTGGGGGTGGCCGAAGAGCTCAGCGTGTCCGACCAGCTTCGGGATTCAGCACACTCTCCAGCGCGGAGGGCACCCCCATTCTCATCCCTTTTGCTGCCAGGCGGAGGTGGGAAGTGCAGGCTGTTGTGCCTTGGTTCTTATACTGGAAGCTCCCAGGACTAGGACTGGCCCAGAAGCCTCCTGGTACCGGGGCACCAGCGGCTGCAGCAGCTTGCTAGAGCGCGTGTCGTGGCAACTCAGGGGCCCCAGCTTCAGCCAGCATCCGGAGAAGCCTCACTGGACGACCGCAGCCGGTCCCACACTCCAGCATGCACGGGACAAGCTTGCCTGGTGTGGACGCTGCGCTTGGTGTGAGGGTTCTCGTCTGAGGAGTCCCCAGAGCGTCCATCCTGCTTGCGGACTTCACGTCTCCCGGCCCGTGGCTGCGGGAGAAGCGAGTGTATCTCAGAGAGCCTCAGTCTCAAAAATGTTTTCACACTGTCATTCACTGACGCGGGTAAGTATCTCCAGGCGGAAAAAGCACCACAGTTCACTCGTTTTTTTGAAGTTGTTTAATATCATCACATAAAACTTTCACAACAAAACCTCCTCACAGATAGTGGTCGGTGCTTCCAAGGCACATTTCCCACCACGTTCGCAGTGAGAATGTTTCATGCTGCGTGTACACCTGGGTGGAGACTGGGTGCCAACCACACGCTGACTTCTTTGATCTGTGACAATGGAAGCGTTTCACAGACAATGTCCCCTTCCTGGGGTCTGCGTGACACAGGCCCGGGGAAGCGTTTACCCGAGTTTCTCAGTGTTTGTTTGTTCCAAATCAGGGTGGCTGTGGGCTCCTGCCCATATGTGAGTGAGGGACTCAAGTGACCTTTCCAAGGGAAGATGGTGGGTACGCTTGTGTTGCTTTAAGGGCTGAAGTTTTATCATTGGCTCAGGGTTCACCCCCCGACTCTCAGCCACACGTGACAGGTGCCACGGCCTCTGTTTCAGAGTGCCTTCCAGTTTTATAAGGCTCCACTCCCAGCGGCCATCCTGACCTGAGGCCAAAGCTTCAGTGGCTTCTCGCTGTGAAAGTGACAGCCCGACGCCTCAGCTCTGACGCCCAGCTGCCTGGCATGGAGGACACTTGGGAGGAAGGCCATGTCCACTGGCTGCTTCCTCAGGAGCCCGGGGAGTCCTGTCCTCGCAGCAGCCAGTGGTCAGGACTGCTCTGGGAGAGGGTGAGGGTGGTGGGCGTTCGGCTCCTCAGCCTCCGAGACCCATCCTAGGCCAGCTTCTGCCTGTGCTCTTCCTGTGGAGCAAACGGGACGCTCAGTGTGCACTCTCTGCCCCTCGTGCCTGCGGGGCCCTGAGGACAGGAAGCCCCCACTCAGAAGCCCTCCCTGGGCTGCGTGTCTCCACCATGTCCTCAAGCCAGAAGTTGGAGGACAACTTGTGTGACCCTCTGTTCCCTTCTTGCTTTCCTGTTTGATCCTCCTTTCTCCACCTGTGGTGGCGATGCCCTCTCTGCAAATGCCCTCCCCAGAGGGTCTCGTGCCGAGGCCTGCGGCCCTTACCTTGACGGACTCCTCCAGCTGGGACAAGGCCTCCTCGTACCTGGGCACCAGTGGCTGCAGCAGCGTGCTGGACAGCTCATGCCGCTGCAACTCAGGAGCCCCAGCTTCAGCCAGCATCCGGAGGAATCTCCTCTCCTGGAAGGAGGCAAACGGGTGGAAAGGGGGTCTTGGGCCAGCCCCTTGCCACCCGCAGGCAGCAGAAACGCCCAAGAGCCCCGCAGCCTCACCTGTACTTTCAGGAGCAGCGTGAAGGCCTGTCCGGTTTTCCCAGCTCGGGCCGTCCTCCCGACCCTGGAAGCAAACACGGCTGTCTCCAGACGGGCCCGGGCCTTCTTTTTTTTTTTTTTTTTTTTTT